ATTAACTGACACATAATCTGTATTTTTTCCTCAGTAATATTATCTTCTGAAGAAAATGAATAGCAATATATTTATAAATAAGATGAAAATAAATTAATAAAAACTATAAGTTTTTTTTTATTTTACCCCAAATCACATCTATTAAACTGTTTTTTGAATAATTTTGTAAAATTATCTTGTATTGAATGCAAGGATATCATTAGTACTTATGTAATTTTTCTTCAAAACAAACCAAACCCTCAAGTAAACTGCTGCGTGCCCTTCCTTCTCCCGATGCCCACCCACTAAGCTAGCTGCAAGTTCTCTTCAGGGGGCTGCAGGTATACCTTCAACCTCCCCCCAGCTCAGCCTCACTACTAACACAAATAGGCAGCTTTGCCCTTCCTGTTCCTCCTCCCTTTTAAAGATATGCAAATTTTTAGTACAACTCCAAATTCAAGACAGTTTATATCAACATCATTTCACAGAACACATTTAAAGACTGTTCAAGCAAGATGTACAGGCAGGTTATACACTTAGAATCAAGATTATCTGCCAAGACCAAAAATCTTAATTGTGAAAAATATATCACAGTATGTTTTACTTTAAAAAAATCTGAGTTAATATTTCTTTTCTTAGCTATGTCCTGAAATTGCTAGTACCCATTTTCCCCTGCACAGATCTCATGGAATTTTTTTTTTTTGTAGACGATTGATCTTATGAATATTTTAATAGTCAAGAATCATCAATATAAAAACAAAATTATTTTATTGGACATATTACAAATTAAACCAAACAAACAAAAACCTTCAGCTGCTTGTAGTCAAACCCATCAAAAGCAATGGTTGTAGTTTTGGCCTCTAACAATGCAATTCTTTTAACGCCAAGCCAGCCTGAACCATGGAACCAAAAACATAAAATTTCCATAAAATCATAATTCTGAATGTGCATTTTCCCAGTAAATTAAGGCATTTTAGTAAATACATATACTACTGTGGCAGCAAAGTATCGAATAAACAGTTTCTGCCCTGGAAAAACTAACATTACTTTGGCTGGCGGGGAGTAGAGCAGAAAGGAAGCAGAGGTTATTGGGTGAGTGGGTGTGCTAGAGGTCCTAGACAGGGATGTGAGAGAAATGTAACTGTTGGCTACTTTTCTAACGTATGAAACAATACTCTTGTACATACGGGGTCACAGTAGAAATTTAAAAAAAAAAAAAGGGGGGGGGCAACAAACCACCCCATTACCTTAGAGTGACTTGGTTTCACAATATCCAAAGTAACACCTATCTATACCTCTTTACAAAGCACTTAAGAAGTGTGTAACAATAATCCATTTTTAAGGTTTCTGCCAGATGGGTAAACACCTCCAACACACCCACAGACACTAATGAAAACCACCTTGGCCTCCTTCAGGAAGTCATTCAACACTTCACAGAAAAAATAGGAAGTTGTTGATAAACTGCTTGCAAGAACTACTTCCTGTAGGAAAAGTAATTACAAGACTGGTTGCTGGACAATCAGTTAACTTTTGCTCACAGGGCAAGATGAGAAGAGGTACACCACGGTACTTTGTATGATTCAAAAGCCTAACAGTAAGTTAAAATGATATAACGTAAATTCTAAAATTGAGCCAAGGCAAACAGACTTTTTCTTTCTGCAAGTTGTTGTCTGCTACTACTATGGCATATTATCTTTTGCCCAGAGAGTGATTCAGTAGTCATTCTCCATAGTTCACTGAAATGTCAACCAGCAGCTGGCTAACAGGAAGTGGTTAAAAAGCAATGCAGATGACATCTCCACACAAACCAAGCAAGTCTTCTTTACAGCGTGCTTAAGAATGGGCTAAAGTATACCACACAGCAGTGTTCAGATGACTCAGATATTACCACTTACTAACCAGGCAAGTCTTAACTAATGAGCTCTACTGAAGTAGCTATTTCAGTAAAAAAACAGAATTCGTTTTACCAGGTGTAGCAAGCATGTCTTAACTCACTGTTCAAAGTCATCTGCATTTTCACTAACAGAAAATTATACTCAAGAGTCCTACTCATAACAGTGAGATGAACGCTAATGAGTGGAATTCTGGCAAATTGTACGTTGGGCATTCATACATAAAGGGGTCTATTTATCTAGATGACAGGCTGATTTTCAAAAATAATTCTGCATCGGACCCTACACTACTACTCTCACACTCTTTTTAGTGTGTATGTACATGTGTGCGGTGTGTATATAAAATATCTGTCTGGCCAAATAAGTGTGTGTGTATGCACACGTGCATGCAGTTATTTGGCCACACAAACATTCCCCCACCACACGCTATTTTTTCATCTTTGTGCAAACTACTATGCGTGTAATGCTTGACCCACCGATTACAGACTATATTCCTTACTGTAGTAAGTACAGTATTCAATTTTGTATTTTTCTGTTTGCAGTATAGTATATTATGATAACTATAACCATAAGGCTTACTGACATCTGGAAAAAATCTAATACTGTTACCTATTCTGCAAAGATCCTTCTAGAGCCTGATTACCAGACTGTTCATGGACTGGCTACAGAACAGAGTAAATGGAAACAAAGAGCAGTGCAGCCAACCCAACGAAAAAGCTGAACACTTGGAACAGAGACCAAAAATCTGCATATGGTAGAAGGAACCACATTAAATGTATTTAACTTCAAGAATCTTGAGTATTCACTCACGCTTGGAGCAAAAGCTTAAGGTATAGCTAGACAAGATATGAGTTTCAATAGGCTTGCAGGTATGAGATAGAACTTAACACTGAAAAAAAGCTACTGTAAGCAGCTTCTGACATACAAATTTGCTTCTTAAAAATTAATGCTTAAATTTCTTTGGCTTTCTTAGTCATACAAGGTAAACATTTTTCTTGTACTTGAAATCTGTTGTTTCTATAAGTCTTTATGAACTCCAATGAAGCAGGTAGACCTCACCTGCAGATAGTACTATACAATCTTTCAGAACAACAAACGTTCTTAAAAGTATGAACAGAGCCCTCAGAACTGTCCTCATTAGACTCTCTCATACCACAGCATCACCCAAGGAAAGCCAAAAGAAAACAGCCCATTAAGCTGTTTAAAATCTCCCAAGGTCAGCATGTGACCCAGCAGGGAGAGGTTCAAAAAGTACAGCCTTTATTTTTCTTCCTAACAACCTGGTTTGTTTCCACTCCTTTCCCCTTCAAGACACATCCTTCACAGCTAGCAGCTCTTTCAATCATTTACTTTGGATGTCTGCTTGAGAACAAACGATCTTGCTCATGCAGATGAGTTTGCCAGACTTGTGTGTACTTTCCAGTCTCAGGCTCTTTATTGTTCTTGCTGAAACCTGACCCTTTGAAATGGATACCAGGACACCAAGAAAGGACAAAAAAAACTTGCAGAAAAAAGGAAAAGATTTTCTGTGGTAATAATGAAACTGTAGAAAAGCCTTCCAAGATCAAATCCTTCCCTCTGCTTTCACCTGAATGAGCATAATTAAAACATCAATTATAAGAGTGTAAAGACATTTTGCATTTCTTGAACAGTTATACTCTTTCCGTAAGATCTAAAGCGTCAGCAAAAATAAACATTTGTGACAGCGCAACTTACAAATCAAACAGATAGTGTTCATGTTTATAAGCTATTCTTTAAGAGCTCTCACTAGCACAGTCAAAACAAAGTTTGCTTTTCATTTCAAAACTCATTCTGTGCTTTCCTCAAGGCCCAATGAGCCACAGTTCTCATATGATATAAAATGTATATAGCTCTAAATAATTCTACTCATGCCCTCTGATGATCTCACATTCTAGCATGCATTTATTTGTTAAGACTTCACACAAAAAATATTGTAGCTTCAAACTCTTTAGCTAATGCTCATTTTCGCATTCCTAACATAGAACGATGGTGTTCAAAAAGTAACTTTAAGGCTCAAATAATGTCAGATGACTGCTGCTTGTGTAACATCCTTTTGAGTTAAAAAAAAAAAAAAAAAAGTGATACTAATTTCACTGTGTGAAAACACTACTGCTCCACAAACATGGAAGTTTTAAAAGTTCTGCAATTTCCATTTTCACTGCAGACAACGTAAATTAGTTTTACAAGCTACAAACTCAAATACTTTAGTCAAATACACATATTAATGACAATGATGTTTCAGCAAGAGAGGTAAGAATACAGATGTTTTACTTGGCTGAAACATGTTTTACATAAATAACATACTGTGCTGCTCCTCCACTCTCCTGGCCCTGAAAATGACATATAATGGGTTATTTAGAGTCTCCCAGTTGAATAAAATATTCAAAATATAGTCAAAAATACTTGAAGGCCAATTATGTGTCTTGGTGGGCACACCTTCAGAAAGGAGGACAGGCTCCTGCTGTTTTAGAAAACTACCCAGCATAAAAGAAAATGTTCCCTGATGAATTACATGTCAGATGGCCTGGCATGGGTAACCTCTCTTCAGTTATAAAAAAGGTGATACTAATTTTACTGTGTGAAAAAGCTACAGCTGTAAGAGCAAGAAACAATATTAAAAGTTCTGCAGAGTACAGAGTAGGCAGAAATGTTTTTACTAAATCTTTATACTATTGCACTTACTAAAAAAAATTAAACTGTTCTGATATTTCTCAATCCAATAGTATCCAAAATTAATCTATTTATTCATAGGTGTATCATAAAAAAATAAGGCAAAATGTATTTTGACTCTGGCAAGATCCAACACATCCAATAGCCACATTGTTTTAAAAATCCCTGTATGCATTTCACTAAATTTTAGTATATAATATAACGCACAAGATTTGTCAATTAAGAGTAAGATAGGATAAACATGCACACAGTCAGATATAATTTTCAGAAACAGCAGAGAGTTGAAATGGGAAAAATACTCAAGTGGCAGGATCTCCTCTCTTACTGAAAACCAAGATCACGTTTTTAAAATATATACTTTAAACACAATGAATTTAACTAAAATTCAAAGACTGTAAAACACAGAGTTGCAGCTAACTCAAAACATGTTTTACTTACTTAAGAAAGTATCTCTGGCCAGATGGTGTCTTAGCCATCTCCCAGCCTGGTGGCAAAGGTACGTCATCAGGGATCTCAAATGAGGACTGGCGGAGATGTTGAGAAGATGGAGCTCCAGCACCAGTCACTACTCCAGAAGGTGTAAGGGTCCCTGGAGAAACAGCTCCCAGCTGCAGTGATGCTGGCGAGGAATGAGCTCGGACATGCTGAGGAGTCAGGGCTCCTGCTGTCCCTGCATCAGTGCTGGCCTGTCAGGAGTGAAATTATTTCTGTTAAAACTTTTATATTTCAGGAAAATGCATCTGTCAGAAGACACTTCATTGAAACCTTTCAAGAGAAATTTGTAAGTTGGCCATTGTACTGTTTATTTTGCTGTTGCTGCTGTTCAGGAGAGCCTTAAAGCAGGTTGGTTAATTAGCGTCACAAAAAGCTCTTGTATAAGTCAAAAATTATTACCTTTAACTATTTGCTAACTACACTCGGTTTTATTTTGAAAAATGAAGTTCTTTCTACCTAGTAAAACTTTAAGGAAAAACATGCCCCCAGTCAGAAGACCTAACAGAATATTGCGCAGCTCATCACTGAACTGCACCCCATTACCATCACACTCAAGTTTCTGCTGAAGGAGTTAATTTCCCACTCTCCTTTCAAAAAGTGGGGAAGGAACATAGACACCCCCCCCATACACCCTCTGCATGGGTTTAAACGATTACACAAGGAAAACAGCAACAAAGAACTCTGCCCACTGACACCAGAGAGTCCCAAGGGAGGAACAACTACTGAATTCTGCCATTAAAAAAAAAAAAAAAAACTACATGCGACTGAATACAAAACTTCCTAAACCTCACACAAACTGCACTTTAAAGGTGTTGGTGGCTTACAAACAGTCTGCTCATGCTTTATCCAAAGCAAAGCTTTGGCAAACTGTTTTACCAGTCAATCAGAATGACTCAAAACTCCTCACCAGAAAGCTGCCAGTCATAACTACGTAGAACTTCTTCGTCAGCAGATAGGCGTCCACCACAGAACAGAAAAGCAGCTTTGAAAATTGAGTTCAAATAAGGCTGACTTTTACATATATTCATAAATTAATTCTTTTTTGCAGATACACCAGAACAACATGGACACCTATAATAAGTTGCATATATCAGCCATTGCCACACCTCTCTACACAAGGTATTGCACCATACACGAGGCCCCATTTATGTATTCTCATGGAGACTGACATTTCTGTTTCATTAAGCCTGTATGTGAGTACAAAGTTTCATATATGAAATTGGAAACGTATTTCAAAGAATTAGCTTAGATTTTAATAAAATGCACAAGTTGCAATTCACTTGAACGTGAGGTGCTTTTATTCTTGAGAAACAGAGAGAAAGAATTACAGAAACCTAAAGACCCTTTCTGTTAGGCAGAATATCGCTATGGCACTAACGAACAAAAAAGGAAAATTAAGACAGCCTGACTTTTTAAAAGAGAGTCAACAATGAAATAAATGATTTTCTACTTTCAGCTGGATTTTTAAGTTTATATTTTAACAACCACCAACTGGTACAAGAAACAGTGATCCAACTAAGCCGTATGCATTACGGATGTAGAGCAATATATACAGGCGAGATAACCCTAAGCTTAAAAGTACATGGTGTATGAACGTCGTACAAGTTAAATGCATTTCAAATACAAGAGCCATTTAGCTGCACTCACTGTATTTAACAGGACACAGCAATAAGCAGTAGATGAACTTACACCAGCGCCGTGCATAATCAAACTGTGATAAAACTTGCATAACTTGAGTAAAAGCTATGTAATAACTGCACTATTCCTCAGTGTATTTCAGCATGTTATTAATGCTGATGAAACGATATGATTTTTATTCAACAATTCAAAGATTGGCAACTCAGAAGCAAACAAAAATACAGAAGCAACTCAGTCCCACCTCTTTCTATTTTGTTTTCGGTCTTACAATATAAAGGCCAGATTGGTTTTCGAGTATTTGGAAAATGAATTAACTCCTAGCCTAAGAGAGTATGTGCCAAGGTTCAGCCTGGAGTAAACTTGTGAAGCCAAGTTATAAATCCTTCAAAACAGAAGTTTAATAATGGAAATGTTGACAGACCCTTAACAACAAGAGTACCAGGCACCAGTACACAGAGCAAGTTTCACTCCTACTGGCTACATAGATAAAGTGACAATAGCCAATAATAAAACCTATTTTATAGCTTAGCAACAAAGTTCATTACTTAATAAAAACACTCCAGTAGGCACAACCTCCTTCCAAAAAGTTGGCAGTAGCAGCCTAAACATTAACTTTCAGTCATACTTGCACCAACACTTCGGTCTTGGCACAAAAGTCACTCTGCTAGAAGATCAAACGCTAGCAGTGCCTCGGCGCTGGCCCTATCCTGCATCTCCTACTCAGCCTGCACTGCAAACCGGCAGACCAGTTTCTCGTGTCCGTTCAGGTCCCCGAGATTTAAGCTTTCACATCATGTCTGCCCAACGCACCGACGGTTAATTTAATGGACCCTCGACACAGCCAGACTTAAAGGTACCCACACGCACAGAAAGCGCCGGGCTCCGGAACTCACTCTGACGGGGGAAGGGGGGGGGGCACGACTCCTGCCCAGCCC